GGAGCCTGACTGTGGCGGGAGGTACAACCATAAGAAATCTCTTTCGAACGCGACCATGCTGATCCACAGCAGCGAGGAGGAGGAGGAGGAAGAGGAGTTCGAAGAGGACCCCAAAGCACCAGCCGCGCTCGCTACCCGACCCGAGCCCCGGCCGCTGGCCACCTACGCCCCAGAGCTGCCACGGAGCCACCTCTGTGCCATGGCCTCGGGCCCCGGACCTTTGCATATTCTCGAGCCCAAGGCCCACATCCCCGAGGCAGAGAAGAGGGCGAGGGACGTGAGCCCTGTCCTCATGTTTGTGGGAGCACAGCGTCCCCGAAGAGAAGGGCTGCTGACACTCTCCATGTCCGAGTCCGACCTCACCACATCGGGGCGATACCGGGCCAGGAGGAACTCTTTGAAGAAAAGGCCGGTGTCAGATCTGCTCTCCGGAAAGAAGAACATCGTGGAAGGACTCCCGCCTCTGGGGGTAAGTGTCCGGGGAGCAAGGTGCCTCCGGTGCCGGCCCAGCCTTCCTGTTACCCTGCCCCTCTGTGCTCTCCCTCCTTTTGCCTTTGCCTTTGACTTACTGTTTCTGATGTTTCTTAGCTTTTTTTTTTTTTTTTAATCTTTGTTTAACATTTTTCATCCTGCATGTTTATAAAATTTATTTTTATTTTTTCCTTTTAAATTCTTTTATTGATACATGTTAGGTATACATTTACATTGATCATTGGATTTAACCTGCATGTTGCCTTATTTTTATCTTATTTTGTGAACACATTTTAAGTTTCTGTATGGAAATTATAGGGGACTGATTAAAATGTCAATAGTTTTACTAGAGAGAGAGTAAATTGGATGCAAAAGTTCTGTGGGACGGAAGGGGAGGACTAAAGTGTTCTAGTAATGCAGCATTAGGGAAAAGCAGATTTTATGATCTTAGCCAAGATGGCTGTGCTGACCACCCATTAAAAAGATATAGCATGCAGGGCTGGGTTGGTTCAGTTTGCTCAAGTGACGTCTGTGTGTAGCATCCAAGGCTGCCTTCCTAATTGTGTGGATGACTTTTTTTTCCCCCTTGGTATTGGGGATTGAACTCAGGACCTTGAGCTTGTGAGGCAGGAGGCGGAACCACTGAGCTAAATCCCCAACCCCTGTGTGGATGACTTTTAATGCCAGTCTGTGGATGTAGCTTGAATATCTTGGCCATGACTTCCGAGGACTGGAGAATGATTCTGGGTTGAGAAAGTGGTACTTTATGAAAGCAAAGACCTCAGAGCTCCAGGTGCCTTTAGAAAAAACAGTAAATGAACTAAGAGTTCAAGGAAAGTCCCTTGTAGAAGGAGCAGCTCTTTACTATTCAGCGTAATAAATAAAAATGAAGCACTTCTTGCGGACTTGAAACAAAATATGAAACCTCTAGCTGCTATTCTCAGAGCGTTTACCATGTACTGATCACTTTGCTGTGTCCAGTAGACAAGAAGCCTATTGTTATGCCCATTTTGCAAATAAAGAAATAGACTCTGAGATATTAAGTAGCTTTTCCAAGGTCACACAACTGGTGAGTGCCTGAGCTGGCTTTCCCTCTTCTGCACTGTTGGTATGGTATACCACGTACTTTGTCCAAATGACAGTTGTCTTGAGTGTGCACAGTATTTTTGCCCTCTGTCTTTTGACAGAGGGGCCTGGCAAGTTCCGATGAATCTGAAGACTGGTCAATTTGATTCTCTTTAAAATGCAAAATTCCTCTCTCAGTGACTTTTAAGACCTACAATATGAATCAAATCAAGTAGTCATTATGCTTCTGGCTCCCTTCTTTTTGCATAAAAAGATTTTACTTCCTCTGTAGCAGCTTCGGTCAGTGGGAAGAGTATAGTCCTAAGAGTTAAAAGTCTCAGGTCTCTGTTAGATTCTGCCACTTACTAATTTTCTGCTTAGTAGGCAGGACCCTTCGCGCATTAAACTTCAGCTTCCACATCTGTAAGCCAGGGACAGTCACCCTTGATGTGCCCTCTTGTCTTATAGTATTAAGTCCCACATGAGGTTAGGCATGAAAAAATGCTTTCTTAATTAAATGACTTAGCGTAAGTAATTGTACTGAGAGTTTTTAAGAAATTGTTTTGACGCAGATTCTTTTATTATAAAAGGCAGCTTTGTGACTTTGAGAAAGCTGTTTATAGTCTCTCTGTGACTCACACGTCTCATATGTGAATGGGAGAACCCCAGAAAGTTGCTGTCAAATAAAATGAGGTCCTGTTGCATCAAAAGTGTCAGCCAATATGACGTTATTACTGTGAGTTTGCATCATGTGCCTAATTTAAGGACTTCCCTAGAGTTGCAGAGCCAACCCCCTGATAGATCTCTGACCCCATCACGGTGACACAGGGTTGCCATTATTTTGTGTAATTACTTCAACAAACAAATATACGAATGTGAATTAAGGTTAAAGAGATTTAGTGTTAAAAATGGTGAAATAAATGATAAGAAGGAACAGTTCAAAATTCTCCACCCATCTCTACTCCATGGACTTGATTGCTATCTCAAAGGCAGACTGGTTGGCGTGCTCATGCATCTGCTCAGAGCTTCTCCCTGGTGCACCCTGTGGTCTTGTGCAATGAATGACACATAAGACATCACTGTACAGGGAATGCATTTAAAACCATGTACTTATACTCTAAGAACTAAGTAAGAGGTTTTTCAAGGCTTGTTTTGACTTTTTCTTTCCAATGCTGACTTTTGAACTGACCTTACAGCCACTCGATTTATTCAGCATGTCAGTGTGTGTGATGTGAGTCATTTTCAGGCAGCTAAGTGCTAAAGTGAGCTTATACGGGCCAGCAGGAACTGTTAAAATTTCAGGAATCTTGCGAGCCAGCTGATGGCACATTGGCAATTTGCAGTCGGGCCATGATAGAAGTATTTTATTTATACCATGGAGATTGACACACGTGAGTCAGAATTTCCCACAGGAGCCAGTTGTTAGACATTACCAGCACACCACTCTGTTCTATATACATTAGAATCAGGAAATTTCAGCCAAATCAGGCCCTCTAAGTTTGTGTGTGTGTCTGTCTGTGTATCTCTCTTTCTAGATGAGACTTAGAAGAGAAGGTGACTTGTATGAAGGATGTTAGGCATAGGCTGAACTTCAACCTAGGATTCTCTACTCACTCCTAGTCCAGATTTCATTATGTGGGATTTCATAATAAAATATGAATTATAAAATTAAAAATTATTGCAGTTAACTTTTTGGGTTAGGTACCCATCACAATCTCCAGTGATAGTAGCAATCTTCCCCCCTTTTTTTAAACCCTCAACAAAATGTCTTTTCTTTTCTTGCTATGTTATTGATCCTGGGATTTCATGGCCTTTGGTAAGCATATAGAGTGAGAGTAAAGCTGATTTTTCATCTTTAAGATGGAACAAAGAAAACCATTTCTTTCAATTTGAGTTACTCTCATTATAATATTAGGGCTTCCAAGGAGAAATAGAATACCTAAGGAGCCTTAGTTAGCATTCTTAGGCTTATTTGCTAGAAAGAGGAACATCGTTATTTTTAATGGTGACTTTAGGAGATACCATGTGATATTTAAGCTTGTGTGTCTGGCTTATGTCACTTAACATTATGTTCCCAAGTTGCTTTATTTTTTCCATAGAAGTGAGAAGAGTTTTAAAATATTTTATTTATTAATATCTACTTGTGTTATAGTAAAATAAAAAATTTAAAAATAACTTTAGGAAACACCTGTTTCCAAAAGACAGAATTCTGTTGGTACTGTCTTACAAGCTGTCCTCTTGATAGAGATTTCAGTACTGTTTTATTTTCCTGGTTTAAAAATATGGCCATTCTGAGAAGAGTAATGATCCAACCCAGGCCACCCAGTTTTGCACTAAAATGTTGAACAGTGTGGAAAGGCGGTGCTCAAAAGGAACTGCCACAGAGAGCAGTTACTTTTTAAAGAAAGTTTTAAAACTTTGTATTTTAAAAATATTTTTTAAAAAGGCATATTAGAACGAAATGATTACATTTTAAGATTTTTTTTTTGTGGACTGCAGCTGATTTTTCAATGTGTCTTGTTTTGAAATTTGGGAGTTTTGTAAGGAGCGCTGCCTGCCTAGAGCCTCACCTTTTGTTGCAACAGAGCCGTGTAACCAATTGAGTTTCAAAACCTCCTATCTGGAAGACTTATCAGGGCTTTGGCCTTGAAAGGAATGTCTTTCTCCTAATGTTTATTAAACAAGTGATGTGCAAAGGAGTAGAATCTCTCTTGCGCGTCGGCAAAGGAGGACACTACACTCTCTTTTTGTTTCGTCTTCAGCCCATTGAGATTTCTTTTGAAAGAATTGCATCTGTGTGTATTTCATATTTACATGTGAATTTTTTTACAGGGAATGAAAAAGACGCGAGTGGATGCCAAAAAAGTTGGTCCTCTTAAGTTGGCCGCTCTCAATGGACTCTCCCTGTCTCGACTGCCTCTGCCGGATGAAGGAAAGGAAGTGTCCAGCAGAGCGACGAATGATGAAAGGGTGTGTATACGAGGGGTTCATTGGCTTCGTGCCTTTTCTGGCACAATTAGTAGATACTGCCAAAACGTCTTTATGAAGTTTTAGTGAATTTTCTAGCACAATTTAATAACCAGAAATGAATGTTAAGGAATTTTATAGCCGGGGCCACAAAATTGGAGCACATGTTTTGCTAATGTCTTACTAGATAATTTCAGGCTTGAATGTTTAGTTCTTGTTTTTTTAATGTTTTGTTGTTTTGTTTTGTTTTTTGTCTTCTGCCAGTCATTTGGGGCAGTCTTGGATTTTGATGGTCTTAAAGTGAAGAGAAATCTATAAAAGTATATGTGTACACATAAGGAAGAAAGCGGACAATGACTATTTCATTTTATTGAAAATTTATCGTAAGAATAGTATTTACCAGAGCTTTTAAAAACCTCTTTGTAAGATATATTTTCAGTTCAGTTTCATTATAAAATTAGATAAACATGAATTTCTTTACAACTGGTCCTAGAGGTGGTCCCCAGTTTACTATTGTTTTCAGTATTTTATATATCATTTATTACAAAAGGCATCTATTTGTAGAATTTGGAACTGGTTATCTTACTCTAACAGTGATAGTACTGCTCGCCTGGAGAATTCTGTTTCATAAAGGTCTCAAAATTGACCCTTGACTTAGAGAAAAAAAAATTCAACAATTACTTCAGCCTAATTTTTTTTTTTTTTTTTGTATGGGGGATCAAACTTGGGACCTTGTGCTCAAGAGGCAGGCACTGTGCCACTGAGTGAAATCCTCGGCTGGCCAATTTTTAACTTTAAACAGAATTTTGCATGATATGACTTGCCAACAAAGTTATAGTTTCTGTTCTTGTAACTCTTGTTATGGCTTGTTACAACTTAACTTTGGTTTCATGTATCATTTTCATTATTTCATGTAGAAAGTTTAGTAGATAATGCTGAACTTGAAGCAGAAAACAAAGATTTCAAACGTCTGTCCAAATGCCGCAGTCTTCATTTTATCCCACTTATTTTGTTTGTAGTGTAAAATGCTGGAACAGCGGTTAGAACAGGGAATGGTATTCACAGAATATGAAAGAATTCCTAAAAAACGGCTAGTTGATGGGGTATGCTCAACAGCCCGACTCCCTGAAAATGCAGAAAGAAATAGATTCCAAGACGTCCTTCCCTATGACGATGTGAGAGTGGAGTTGGTTCCTACGAAGGAAAACAATACTGGTTATATCAACGCCTCACATATTAAGGTGAGAGGAGCATACATGCAGTTTGGGGTAAGAATGGTTGGAATTGTATTTTTATTTGTATTCTAAAACACTCCAATGGTTTTGAACCATTGTGGCAACTATGTTAGAATCTGGAGAATTTGTATTTCAGTGTCATATATAGTGTTTATCAGACAGAGTCAGAGTCCCGTCTGTGTCTCCAAATGGAAAACTTGTCCCCAACACTGTCACCTGGTCTTAGGGAGCCTTTATTTGTCTGACTTTACAATTACAATTTTGTCCTCCTAAATCTGAAAACCTCTTTCTAGCTGATAAATTCTTATTTGGCTTAACATAAGGCAGAAAAGGAAAAAGACTGGAGTAGATACCAAAAAAAAAAAAAAAAAAAAATTCATACAGGAGCTGCTGAATTGCTAGTGTTTCCTCTTCACATACCTGCATGTGCTTTTGTGTAACAAAAGTTGTCTGGGATTTTCAGTGGTGTTCACAAAAGCTTTTTCTTCTGAAGGTACCATCTGTTCTCTTTGCATCCTTCTGTGATCATTTTTAAATATTACTTTGTTCTTTGAAGAACTTTTTTTCCCCCTTAGAAACAGTCTGATGCCATTTAAGTGAGGGTAATGTTACAGTCATTAAAATAGGAAAAGTGATGATTCACAACAGGTGGCCAGATGATCTGTCTTCTCCATCGTTGTGCCCTTTGTTCTTGCTGGCTAGACTGGCTTCTTTACTTGGAAAGGAGAAATCTCCTTCTAGGGAGTGAATGAGTAGGTGTCTAATTTTCTTCTTTCCCACATTTCCTTCAGTTTACAAGTCGTATTTAATAAGAGAGTAGTCTGACACCTGAGGCTTTCTGGAGAACTGGAAATCTCCATGTGCTTGCTAGTACCCCTGGATTGTTTTGGAGAATCTGTGCACATGCTATTCTGTATTCTGTTTTGTTTTTATTTGGATATCATGTACTTAAAAACCAAGCATTTGACTGGACAGATAGAACAGAATGATGCTGAGGCTCTGTAGTGCTGTTAGAGGCCACCTGAAGAATAGAGGAGAGAGGATGAGCTTCAGAATTGGAAAGGGATGATTCCTAGAGCAACCATGGGCCAGCTGTGAGACCTCAGTTTGCTTATTTCTTAGTATAGAAACATAATACCTTTACCCCTGCATGCTTTGGGCTGGCAGTGGGAGAGGAGACTGTATGGGGAACAGGTCTCGCAGAGGGTTTGACGTTTAATGGGCACTCAGAATACAGTTACTGTCTTCACTCAATATCGGTGGAGTTGACATGTAAGCCTGGTTTCTGAATTTCATATTCAGTCATTAGTCTGTTTCGGAGGATATGAAGGCTTAACTAGAAACTTGGTATATTAGGGAAAGTTATCTTGACATAGAAGTTCAGAGGTGAGACCACCTTGAGTAGGAAGTTTTTTTTCCCCCAGAAATTTGACATTTAGCTTGGGGGTTGGCGTTAATTGCCAGTCCTTTTTCCATCATCTTTTACTACTTAATGGGGAAATTGTGTTTGAAATGTGGGGTGATCTTTATAAGAGGAACCACAGCAATAAAGAAGTACTTATTCTGGGCCAGGCACCATATAAATCTTCTCAGTCTTCACAAAACCCTATGACAGTAGGCAATATTTTTATTTTATAGATAAGAACTGAGACTTAGGGGTTATCTGATTGCCCCAAGTCAATAGGTGTTATGTAAATTCACAGTACACAATTTATAAAAATGCCAACAATGGATATAATATTGGCAAAGATTTAAGCCTGTTCTTACTCTGCTGAATAATCGATTTCACTTTTTTTAGTACTGTCATGAACACATACAAAGATTCATACATACATTCTACACACACACACAAAGTAATTTTTTACCCTTTTCTAATTCCAGGTCTCTGTCGGTGGAATTGAATGGGATTATATTGCCACACAGGGACCGTTACAAAATACCTGTCGGGATTTCTGGCAGATGGTGTGGGAACAGGGAATTGCGATCATAGCCATGGTGACAGCAGAAGAGGTAAGTACTCATTTCTGTTCATTGATTTTCCCAGCCTCCAAAGAACCGTTAATGTTAATCACATAGAATCCTGACCTTTAACGACAAAGGCAGGGTGGGCTGGTGGTTCTGAGTTTCAGACACACTTCCTGTGTGAAGGGCACCCGTGGCTGGATCTCGTGCTGCTGTTGAACCGTACTTGTCTTTGACAGGAGGGTGGAAGGGAGAAGAGCTTTAGGTATTGGCCACGACTTGGTTCCAGGCACAACACCGTCACCTATGGGAGGTTTAAGATCACAACCCGGTTCCGCACGGACTCTGGCTGCTATGCCACCACAGGCTTGAAGATGAAGCATCTTCTCACGGGGCAGGAGAGGACAGTTTGGCATCTGCAGTACACAGACTGGCCTGAGCATGGCTGTCCTGAAGACCTCAAGGGATTTTTATGTAAGTGTCTTTGTTTCCAGGACAGCCTCCTCAGGCCAGAGAAGAAGACTTTGTTTCTGAAATACTTCTTTTGTTTTGTCTCATATACGCCTTACTCTTGTTTTAAAATAAAGAATATACGTGCTTTGGAAAAGCTTGCCGGAAGACATTTTAAAGATATAGTGTGGTAGCAAGTGGAGCATCACCTCCACCCTGAGTGTGTCCCTCTCTCCAGGCAGTTTTGGGGATGAGAAAGTGGAGGCCAGGCACAGGCACTGATTTTCCCACAGCCACAGGCAGTGGCTAGGATGAGTTGCCTGGCACCCGGTGCTCTTATCTGTAGTTTTCTCAAATCTGTGGAGAGAATGTGAAAATTGAATTGTCAACTCAATGTGCTGTAATCCCTGAGCATTCTTCTATTTCATGATTTTTCACAGCATACCTTGAAGAGATCCAGTCTGTTCGACGCCATACTAATAGTACAAGTGAACCCAAAAGCCTCAACCCTCCACTGTTGGTCCACTGCAGCGCTGGGGTAGGAAGAACTGGCGTCGTCATTCTGTCAGAGATCATGATTGCCTGTCTGGAACATAATGAGGTGATGGCTTCTGTATTAAGCCTGACTTTTTTTGGAGGGGAAAAATAATAGGCTGGGAGGGAGAGGGGCACAGTCACCTACAAGGTCTTTTGGACACATTTCCTGGGACTGTGGTGGCCACAGAATTTTATTGTGAAAGATGGTGTCTTCCTGGAGATTTTTAGTACCTATTAGCATGATAAGGACTGAGACATCATCCAGTAAATGAGGCTGTTTTTCACATTTGAACTCAGAACTCTCTTTTTCCTGGAATACCTTTTACTATTTTAAGGATGATTAGTGTGGGCTGGTGTCTCTGGGAGATACTGAGCTAGACTCTGATAGCACTTAGCACACCATGTTCCTGTTGAACCTTGGTAATCTGGTGAGAGAAAGAGATTTACATCAAACTGAAATCTGAAGAAACAGTTTGCATGGATGCTCTATTTGTGTTTAATATGCCAGCGGTCATGGCTTATAGAAGATGCTAAAGGCTGGCCAGAGACTGCCCATCTCCTGACCAGATTTTGTTAGGGCCCCTGCTGTCCCCCAGACTGTTTCTCCTCTGGGGAGAGGAGAGGATTTCCCCTCATCACTGTTTTTCTCACCCTAGATGCTGGACATCCCGAGAGTGCTGGACATGCTCAGGCAACAGAGAATGATGCTGGTACAGACGCTCTGCCAGTACACGTTTGTGTACAAAGTGCTCATTCAGTTCCTGAAAAGCTCCAGGCTCATCTGAGCTGTCACACCTTCTTACGGGGACCCAATCATACAAAGCATTAACAGCTTAAAAAAAAAAAAAAGTGCTTGCTTAACTCATACTTTCTCCTTGAAAGATCATACTTGATCACACTAGAAATCCATCAGGACAGGGATGGTGCAGTATGAGTAGCGGTGCACTAGAGGAAATATGCAAAGCACAAGGCTGAAGAGGGGATCTGGGACCTGGGACAGGTGCTGAAGGAGGAGGACTCGGTTTCCAGGCCATTGTCCTGCTTGGGTCTGTCTCATTTGCAGCGCTTGCACACATTTTGGAGATTGTGTTTTCTAGACAATTCTGTATTACTGAAGCTATGCTGGACACTTCTGGCGATCATTAAGACTTACAGATTTCTATCTTAAGCTAGTTTTTGATGATGGAATTTTATGTTATGACTGAAATAGGGGTTTTCTTAGTGACAAACTGAACTTTCTATGGGGGTGATCCACAGACTGAGTGGTTTGTGTGTATAACATGTTTAAAACCATGTTATTATCTTTTGTTATTTTTTTTAAACCGTGGGTACTTACTGGTTTAGTTTTTAAGCTCAAACTATAAAGAGAATCTGAAAGTGTTATTTTGAAACATAGAAAGCATTTTTATATTCAGAAAATTTTTTATCCTAAAAAGTCTATATATTTGTACCTTCTGTATTTTCCAAACAGGGCTCAACTTACGAAGATACTGAAATGAGTCAATGTAAATAAAAGTTGGGAATGAAGGCACATGGTTTAAATGCAAGAATATCAGATTCACTATTTTTTCAGTATTATTCATAGGCCTAAATGAGTTTGATTTTATTAAAAATGAAGTGAAAAACAATTACATAGGATGGTGATAAGCACTTTTTCTGTTAAAGACAAAATCTGAGTTTTAGTATATGTTTTTGTTTTATTTGAGACAAGAACCATGGAAATTGTTTCAGGCGTGTTTTGTAGAGGAGGATGAAGAGTATGTGGGATGATGAGGACGAGAGTAGGTGGCATGCGATGGTAAAGCAGGGGCCTTTGTCGTTACAGAAATGCAGTATTATCGTTGCTCAGACTGAGAGGCAAGAATGGAGAGGGGCTGAGAGTACGGGGCTCATCCCAGGGCGTTCACGGCCTGCCACTGTTGATTATGGTTTCCCTGGGATTCTTCCTCTGAATCCTGCATTATTTTTCCCCCCACAAATGGAGGTTTATATTATCATTCAAAGAAGCCTCCAAGATGCTTCATTTTATTTTGATTGAAACAAGGGAATAGTAAATAGCTTCAACTCTTCTCCCAAATCCACAGCCCAAATTTGTGGGGCCACCGGAAATTGCTGTGGTATTAGGCGGTGACTGAAGTTTACCTCCTTCATCCTCTGGCTTCTGCCCTGGGATCAGTTTTAAGTAGTTCTACTCCTCTCCCCCATCCCACTGAGGCACAGCTGATGAGACAGTAGACTGAGGTGAACGGGAGAGTGTGGTTGTCTTTGGCCAGGCTCAGGTGGCCTCATTCACACCTCTGTTGAGTCGGCAAGCGGGGACTGGCACAGGTAGCTCAGGAGCCATCTCCCTCTACTCAGTTCTGAGGCTGATTCCCCACAACGGAGAGCTTCTACAGTGTCGATTCTAGGGTTATTTCCCCAAATTACAATATTCTAAATATTTTTCTCATTCCCATTTCCTTCCTAAAGCAGTGAAACTCACTGTTGTAACAGCTAAATACATGTATGTCCTCAGCCATGAGATGGGATTTCCTGCGTGTAGGTTGGGCCAGCCTAGCTCCCCCCAGAAACCAGCCACTTTGGGGGAAAATTCAGGTAATTCTAATGAAAGGCAGTACTAAAAGTGGACATACGTCTCACTTGAGAACAAGATACCAATTTTAAAACTTTTGGTGAAAGAGTAATAGACTCAGGTGAAAATATTCTGAAAAAGTCCCCAGAAGAAATGGAGTAAGAGGTTTGTAAAATACGAATATTTTTCATCTCCACATCATTTAAAGGACAGGATTTTTTCTGAAGCTTTTTGTTTTCCAACAGTACATTTTTGGAAAATGCCTATCAGGATTGCTTCTCGGCCTTTTGGCTAAGATCAAGTGTAAAAATGCCTATCAGGGTTACATTTTGAAGTGACCATTTACAAGCAGACATCTAATTAAAGAGTAATATATGGTGTATTTGTGTTCCTGTTGTGATAATTTGATAAGTAAATTGTTAAGAGGGCAAAATTATACTGTTTAAATCTGTGGCTCTTAAAATGTCACATTTGACATCACTTCTAAGTATCATGTAATTTTAGACTTCTAACTGCAGTTAGTGAATAAGAAAGAATTTCTAAGTAAAAATAAATCTACACTATTGGACTTTGAAATAATGTGATTTGCAAGAGCAAATTATGTAAAACGTTGATTGAGGTCCCATAGGTTTACTGTCTGAATTGAGGACGTTTCTACATGCCAGCCTTATACAATGCTTTCTTAGCATCTTTAGTTCCTTAATATTAATTTCATATCAGAATTACCAAAGTGTACACTTCCATAATGATTAGGTTACAAACCAGTGTTTCTGCTGGTCAACTCTGGTGTCTCTTGTATCAGTTTTTCTGATTAGTGGGATCCTTTCTTGAAATTTTTTAGTTGACAGTTTTGGGCATAGAAAATGATCATTTGAAAACACGATCTGGGGTGTTAATTATAGTCATTATTAATTTTCTTCTGGAACATCTACTGTGACATATTCAGGAAGCTGTAGAATTTAGTGTTTAAAAAAATCTCTTGGCAGGATTAAAACAGAAGCAGGACCTGTGCTTCCTTAGAAACTTCTGGAAACAGAAATATCTAGCCTGAAATACAGAGGAGGGAGGCAACATGGCGTGGCCAGTGTCATCTCAAATATGCTGATAAGTTGATGTTCACAATAGTAAGAAGAGGCAAATATATACGTAAAGTGTACAGCTCTATAGTAATGTATTAGAGGTCAGCTACAGTTTATCAAGAACAAGTGTATTTAAGATTTATATGAACAAATAGAAACAGGAATTACTATTTATTTTTTTCAAAACTGGATTGAGGTAATTTATTGTTTTTTTGGTTAGACTTTTTAAAGGACTTGGATATAAATTTAGGAGGATATGCTTTCCACCAAGAAAATTACATAGCTAAAATGATTCCTCCCCAGGTTGAAGTTTATTTAAAAAGCAAAAAAAAAGAATGTTATATTCTATGAGACTTTTTTTTCCTCATTGAGTTTATTGGTACATTTTAGGTATACAGTATAGTCACATTCATCGTTGGGGTTTTGTATCTTTACATGACAGGTCTTGGTTCTCATTTTTTATGAGACTCTTTGAGTGGAGGGACAGATTTCAGAAGTAGAGAGAGAATGCTGCATTAAGAATTTGCCTAAGACTAAGGCATGGTGGCACATACCTGTAATTCTAGCTAGGACTGAGAATGCTGAGGGAGAATGGCTGCAAATGTGAAGCCATCCTGGGGCTATAGAGTGAGTTTAAGGCCAGCATGAACTATATGTCAAGTCCCTGTCTCAGAGAAACAAAACAACAGCAACAAAAATTTCTTTCACCTGAGAAAACATCTCTCAAACACAACACAAGTTTTTCAAATTCCAGTAGGCAGGGGCTCCATTTATCCTATCATTGATAGTTACTTATACAAAAATGAGGAAATATTAGAAAGTTCAAAATCTGTGTGTGGAGGTGGGTGGACTTTAGAAAATACTTGAAAAGTTCTTGGATTGTTAAAGTGGTATAATTTTCTGTATATTTTAGGCAGTTCCCAAATAACAATTTTGCTGTAAAAGTTCACTTCTGTGTTGAATTGAGATACAGTAACACTCATGTAAATGGTACTCTGTGAGTTTTAACTTTCTTGGTTTGTCCCTCTAAAGATTACATAAACCATGGGGCCTGAATGTGGTACAGAATCCTATCACTGTTATTTTGTACTCCCTAGAATATGTAGGGCAACTTTCCCCATACTTTTTGCCCTGGTGGTGAGATCAGAGCCTGAATCTCCCTGCTTCTGCCAGGCAGTGGCAACTGAGACTCAGGAAGCAGTTGAAGTCAGATTGGCTAGTGTTTCAGGGGAAACCTCCATAGGAGTATCCCAGCATTGGTGGCAGAAACTTGAATGGTGTGTGGGTAAGGAACAGGGAGGACTTCGAAGTGAGCACCAATTCTGCCTGTGACTTCCTGTCACGTGTGGCAGGGTAAGAGCAAACTGGGAAAATACTCCTCTACCTTTCCTGTTGCCCCTTGCTTATCCTGTCCTCAGTATTGTCAAGGGATTGAAATGGGGAAAAAAAGATATGGGCTATGAAGTGGAAGGTCTATAGCACCCAGCTGAGGGAGTGGCAGTTCAAGTCAAATGGTATTGTGTAAAGGGTATCTCTAGGTCACCATGGGTAGAATTAAGGTCTGTCTGCATATCGGCTCCACAAACATCTAGTCTTGTTTACTTGGAAAATTAAAATACTTAGTTTTCAAAAATCTGGGGTAAAAAAAATCTAAACATTTCCCAGTATTTTGATGGGGCAACTATCTTCTTTTAGGGTAAGTTTAACATTATAAACAAATACAAATGCACACAGGAAAGGAGTAATTGTGTTTGCATTTCTACCTGTACAACTTAGTATGTTTTACATAGCGTCCCAGATTTCTGAAAGTTACTAGTTAGATAAATGTTTTGTCATTATTCTTTAACTTCCATCTACTGACTGCATGGTGTGTCAAATAAAAGGACCAGTTAAAATCTGTGAAACCCCTTGGCTCCGAGTTCCACAGTCTGAGGATTGTGGCGAGCAGAACAGTGCAGGTGCAGCATGATTTCTGTGTAAAAGCCTGCAATTTTAACTGAACTGGTTGGTCCATTTTAAACTGTAAAAAAGTTTATTTCTATTGTCAAACATGAATACTACTAACACTTAAGTGTCCATGTGTATTTTAAATTTGCACTTAAAACGTCATAAAACAAAAATTACAGCATTCACTCTTTGGAGCAAATCTACGAAGGTTGGATTATTACAGGGTTGGCCAGAATAGGAATCTGTCAGGTTTGTTTTGGGTTTTTTTTTTTTGTTTTGATAAATTGATCAGGCTGGTTCAGATTTAATGATAATTGGATTTCTCTTTCTGTCTTCTCATTCATCAAATGAGAATTGAACAAATGAATGGGAAATATCAATTTAGGTGCTCATTTTTCGTAAGACACAAATATCACAGGTCAGACTGCTTCCATATGCTGAGATACTGTCCAAAAATTTTTTTATCCTGGAAGTTTATTAAAAGTCACCTGAAATTAATGGACCATTGAATGAGACAGAGCTTTTGTTACTTAGAGTGATATTTATTAAATAACGTCTTAATTTTATAAAAGTGTCCTGAAAACACTTTGGTAAGGTTTTATATTTTACTGGAATAATACCAGTGCAAAATTAGTTCAGCCCAATAAATAGTCTGAAAGAAGTAAAAATATCCTCCAGAAGTGACGAAATTATTTGCAGAACAAATCTAATAAGGATGGAATTTAAAATAATATAAAACCCTTAACCCTTGTTAGTCAAAATGGCAAAAGAAAAAGTAGAAAATAGAGCAATCTGCAACTACTGTGTGTGCTAGAGCTGTAATGGGCTATATTCACATAGTCTGGTCTTTGTGGCACAATAGAGAAATAGAGCAAGTAGTTGTGTAGGGGTGATTCAGTGTTTTCAAAAACTTCTAATATGGTCAGTTTAGACCCTGTCCATATTAGAGTTCTATACTAAAGGTAATCAGCTTAATTTCAGGTAGGATTGAGTTATTATATATTAATCGGTATAGTCAAATTCTAAGCAACAGATTGAATAATAATTCCTCGTGATGTACTGTCAGTACTCCACGAGTTTTAAAAAAACTCATACAATTAGACCTTACTCAAAAGATTGATTGGCAGTGGGCTGATATAATTTTGCTTTTTATTGTGTTCCCCAGCAATTTTTCCATTAAAATATAAAATATCTAGATTTTCATGTGTTAGTTTTTAAATGTCACACTTTAGAGTATTAGCCTGTTATGTGTTGCCGTAACAGAACAGCTGGAACCATTTCTTATTGTCGTGGCGGCTGGGAAAGGGGCCTTGCTGCTTGGTTCTTGGTGGAACGTAAGTGTGCACAGGGGGACTGGGCTTTTCATAACGCACTCCTGAGATGTGGTAATAACATTAAGCCCTTCGCGAGGACTCTGCCTGCTGAAGGCTCCACCTCCCAGAACCACTGTATTGGGGATTAAGTTCCCAACGGATGAACCTGGGGGACACATTCAAGCCGTGCCATTAAGTATTTTCTACGAAGTCATCTCAATGTTTTAATGTACTTAATACAGGAAAATATTCGGATTTATAATAAAACTCTTCAGTTCAAATGAATTATGCTGTAACAAACCAGAACTTTGGTGTACACTTCTGTGTTGTATAATTAGCTGGTAAAAGACCAGCAACTCAAATGACATCATAGTAAATTTAGCAAAGCATAGTTCAAAAAATGTCTATAAAGCATTTATTTAAAACAAAACCAACAGTTTCATGTGATTTGATGTGCCAGACATAAAAACAAAATTTGGAGAAAAATTATTTGAAATATACATCAGAAATTTGCCCTATAATTCAAGCAACACACTGGGAAGTCTAACTTTTCAAAATAGAATGTTTGTCTAGTATCTTCTAGTTTAAAAAGCAATTTTATGTGCTATTGTTTGAAGATAATATAAAAATGTCTAATGAAAGCTTAAAACTTCTAAACTATTGGTTTAATAAAAGTGTGTACATTTAAGGGGCAAAAAAGCTTGAATGGCTGAATATATTATATGTGAAATAGTCTATTTTTGCCATGAAAATAAATATGTAAAGAAATATATGACGTGTGTGAATATAGTATAATTAAGTCTATTTTTGGATATAAGTTGTGTGTGTGTGTGTGTGTGTGTGTATATGTATATATATATGTATATATATTTTTTTTAGTCCTTTTCATTCTGTTGTTTAATGTGCTGCATAAGAGATGTTTTAATAGTTGCCAACCTGTCATCACACATCTCCATAGTAATTAATCATTTAAAAGTTAGATTGCATCTTGTCAAAATAGCCAGCTTCAGTAACCAGAGTATTTATGGAACAATTAACAGTTGAAGAATAAGTGTTAGTTGGTGCAGTTCTCAACAATATCAACTTCGCAGTGGGTCTGTGGAGCTCCTACGGTTATCCATGTATTGGAACTTAATGTTGTTTGTTGGTTTCTGCATCATCTATCTTTTAATGGGGTTATTTCTGGACCACCAGCAGCAGCACCTGGAATCTTGTTAGAAATGTGAATTCTTGAACTCTCCCCACAGTCTGAAATTCTGAACTAGAAGCCACGGTGTTGGGGCCGAGAAATTTGCCTTCACATGTTCTCTAGGGGATTTGGGTGCACATCGGTTTGAGAACCACTGGTTTAGTAATTAAAAAGCCATAGATGTTCAACATGGGTCCCAATTTGGGATTCATTACACAGCCGAACTACAACTAATAGACTCTGAAGTTTAGGCAATTTTCAGTTAGGTTAATGATATTTATAGTTGTGGTAGGATGAATAATGGCTCCCCGAAGGTAACCATTCCTAATCTCCTGAAGTTGTAAATGTTATTTTATATGGTAAGAGGGACTTTTCAGCTGTGATTAAATTAAGGATCTGTTAATGGAGAGATGAGCATGGATTATCCAGGTAGGCTCAAAGTAATCACGAAGGTGTTTAT